TTATTAACTAATCAAATTGGCAAAGTAAAGTAAGTACATCAAAATTTTTTGTTACATTACTCTTTAAACTTATCTAAATTTTTATTTAATTTAATTTTATTTTTTTGTTAACAGTTTAAACGCTTAAATAGATTTTTAATTTCATCATATTCGAATTAGAAGGTTAAACGGACTTTGTTCTATTTCGGCTATGTAATTTTGTCGGATAAACCTTGGACAATTGTTTTTCTGTTTGTCTTAATATAAACCCTTTACTCTGTTTTTCTTATTTAATCATCTTTTTAATATTTTGTCTTTTTAATCTTTCTTTTTCTATTTTGTTTTATATTTGCATTTTTTTTTTATATTTGCATTTTTTTTTTTTTTATAGTAATGCACATTCTTCACACGCGTTCGTTATTTGTGTTTATATGAACTTCATTTGTCTTGTTTCAAGAAATTTGTGTATAATAAATTTCATTAAACATTGTATATATATTCTTTTCGTTCGTTTTTTCTTTTTTGCTGTGTCTTATCATTGTTTATAATACCGCTAAAACGCGAAAAATTTTACTAATAAATACGGTTGCACCGCAGTAATGAGTCCACGCGTACATATAGTTCTGGGACACCTGATAAAAGTTGCCAAATGATTTCTTGGCCAATTCGATTGGGCATAATTGATTCAATCCGATTAGAGTGGACGGGGAAAGTGATGTGCAAACAACGCCAGGGCAGAGGAACGATTTTCCGTTCACGTGATTTCAGAGAAACGTAAAAAATTTCAAAACAAACGTTTGCTTTGCAAAAAATAGCGTTTATCTCAAAAATTATACTGGTAAATCACCTTTTGGGTTCTAACAAAAAAATTCACTCGTGCAATTTTACTATAAGAACACTCTTTCTAATCCTAACCTATGTCCGAACCCTAACTTAAGTGAATTTTTTTCGTTTGAAGACAATTGACTTCGGACGATCACGTGAACGGAAAATCAATTTCACGGTTACGGTACGATTTCCCGAAAGCTATTTCCCGACGTGCCACTTACCCGACATCACTCAGGTGACAATTTGCTAAAAATATATATCAACAACTAACAAAAATCCTAACCCTAACCCTATGTGATGTCGGGTAAATAGTTTTTTGGGAAAGTGGGTTAAGAATCAACGAATTTCACTTATATATGTGTGGAAAAATTTTTTCTTAAAATTAAATTTCAAATTCATCGAAATTAAAGATGTCGGAAACAAATAATTATACGTTGAGTGAAAAAGAAAAGGCTCTTGCAGGACTTCCATACTTATCTTGTACTGAAGAGCTTGTTAATGACCGACTTGAAACTAGAGAAATGCTTTATGAATTTAATAATTCTAAACCAGTTCGTCGTGATACTGTTGAATATCGTGAGGGCAGGGAAAAAATGATTCGTCAATTATTTGGTAGTGTTGGTAAAGATGTTGAAATCGAACCGCCATTCTATTGTGATTATGTATGTAAGCTTTGCCAGTATTT